GAAGAGGGCGGCGGCGGGGAGCAGGAGTGGCGGCGGCAAGCGCAGCTGAGCTCTGTTCCGGCACGGGAGCAAGGAGGCAGGAGCCCCGGCTGGGGCTGCCGAGGAGCGTCCGGGCTGCCCGCCAACCAGTGGGGTCTTGACTTGCGAATTTCCCGGGTGTTTTTTTTCCTAAACTTTTTGGTACGTACCTCAAGTCTCCGTCCGCAAGTCAAAATGGATTTTTGCGGACGGAGAGGTACGCAACTCAAAAAGTTCACAAGTCAAGCCGTTCGCAAGTCAAGACCCCACTTTAGGGCTTATTTTCAGGTTAGATCTTATTTTCAGGGAAACAGGGCAATAATAAAGATCACTGCAGCATTTGAGCTTAATTCAGAGAGTTAACTCGGATTTACAGAGGATGTGTATGTTTGAGAAGCATTCTAAGCTGCTTATCTCTGTGGACTTACTCTAAAAAGCTATTCTTTAAGCATTTCTTTCCTTTTGATGAACAAAGCTCAGAGAAGTAATAGGACAATGTTCAAAGGCCCACATTCAAAGAAAAACACACACGCACAAAGCACTGGTTTGCTGTGTTCTTCGACTACTGGGGTATGGAGTGACAAGGAAAGGAAACAGTTGTTTATTTGATGAGGATTTATTCCTACTTTTAATGGAGCTAATGTTATAAAGTCTAGAATTTTCAGTAGTTCCTAATTCTACTCAGTAAGCGTTGGTTTCTCCTCCCCACAAGTAGTTATATTGGGGCCAGTTTTAAAGATTATAAGTGAAACTAACATGTCCAAATCCCATTCTTCCCTCACAGTGCTAATCGGAAGAAAGAAAATGGGGGAGAGAGAACTATAGAAGGCAGGAATAGGCTTTCCAAGAGATTCTTGGAGAAGGAATGATTAGCATTTAGTCCTCCATCCTTGGTTTTTGTTTCTCTCCGGCTCAGAAACCAAGCTGAAGGGGAAATAGCTGTGGGGCGGGGTGGGGAGTAAGGGATTCTACAGAGGACAGTCCATGGGTACAAAGAGGTTTTAAGCAGTTCTGTGCCCACTGATCCTCAGCAGTTCTGCTGGGGCCTCATATTTAGCTAAGCAACACCTGAATTGGTCCATAATTCATCTTACCCAAAAGTTTAGGTAGCATTAAAATTTAAATTGTGAAGCTTTTACTGAAACTGCTTTAAACGTTGACATGAGTAGAAATGAAACATTTTAAAGAACAGTCTTATATAGTAGATTAGGAGATTGTTAATCAAGTATGCTTTGGTTTAGGATAGTATTCTTAACCTTTGTGACTCAGGTGTTTTTGAACTGCAACTCCCAGAAACCCCAGCCAGCAGAGCTGATGGTGAAGGCTTCTGGGAGTTGCAGGCCAAAAACTTCTGAGAGTTGCAGGCCAAAAACTTCTGAGTAACAAAGGTTAAGAACCAATGGTTTAGAACATTAAAAATAGACCAAGTCTTGGCTTTGCAGAGCATGCTTTTGAACCTTTCAGCTGGCCCAACCATTAGCTGTGATTGTGTAGTTACCTGAGGTGGTGGTGGTCTGGGTGATAGAATAGCCACTCCAACACCACTGCTACTACCTTTTTTTTTTCCAGAGTTGACGTCTGCCTGGTTCCATAGCACAGACACTCTGCAGCTAACTTATTTAGATAACACCTGGCTTGTGAGTGTCCTTGGGATCAGTGAGATGTGGGAAGACCAAACCACCCCTCACACAACAACTTGGTCTTAAAGAGAAGGAGCTCAGCATTACCCAAATATTCATGAAGCGACTGTGCTGTGGATATGGGCAAGCAGCCATTTGAATCTGCTGTTGGTGTCCTCCTCTTCTTTACCCCAAGTGTTACTGTTCAGGGGCAGACTGGCAGAGGTCTTTTCTTCCTGTCTCAGGTGATGGAAGAGATTTTGTTGGAGCTGCTTTGGATGGAGACAATCTAAAAGTATGTTTTCACACAGAGGCCAATGTCTTCTTACCTAGTTATGATGGCATAACATAAACAGTGTAACTTTTGAAGGTGAATTTCCTCAAGTTAAGACATCATTGCCAACTTTACTAGTTCCATAATAAGTTTTGTGACTCAGTGTGCAACTGATAATATCGACTGTGATGTCTTAACTTGATGCAATTTTTCTTTAAAAGTCATGCCATTTGTTTAGCTAAGCAAGAGAATTTGGGCTACTGGGTCAGTTCAAACGTCACATTAAGCCATGGTTTCTCGTGATGTAGATCCTAATGTATGAAAAACAGCGCACCAAAGGTGAACCAGTAAAATCTGAACAGATCTGTCTGAAAACTTTAAAAGCTAGAAAACTCTGAAGTCTTAAAAGAATGTTTTTAAAAAATCTTTACCTGGTACAAGATTGAAACATGTACAGGACAAGGTGTTCTGAAGAGGGCATACCATGGCCTACATGTTATGATTAAAGAGACTGTCCCTCATAACCACTTTGAGAAAGGTTCCCACTATTTTTCTTCATCCAAGATAGACAAAGCATTGTTAATCAGAATGTGAGAAACTGTAGATACATATTATTCATACAAGTAGCTAATTAGTCTGAATTTAATTTTGGCAGGGTTGGAAAGAGTAACCATGCTGTACCTGGGGTTGAGCAATGTCCGACAGACCTCCATGTTCCCTCGTGATCCTAAACGTCTGACACCTTGAGAAGATCAGGAACTGAGTTTAAAAAAAAATTGCTCCCTGCTGCTCAAAGGCAAAGCATAACAAGCCATAAGCAATGGGAGGACATTTAATCTACTAAAGTGCCACAATAACAGATGTTCAGCTCGTTTACTACTAATATGTGAAATTAACAATTTTAACCAATCTGGATTCAGATGTAGAAAGTGTTGTATCTTTTTCAGAAAATGGACTTATCATCTTGTACCACAGAAACTTGGTAAACACTTGAATTTTAATAAAATGCATAGATGTACAGCAATGATAGGTATGTTTTTAAACATTTGCTAACAAAGTTATGCATCTCAAACACAGAGTTTGATATCCAGTCATGAGTCCAGTGTGGAAAGTAGCAAGTTGAACATGGATTGTTTTGAGCAGCTGTAAAATAGTAGACTAAATGTGATCCTACTGACTGGTCAATGCAGGTTGCAATAAAACTCCCACCTACCTACTCTGTTTAGCTTTTTCATTATATACTGTAGACTTCCAGTTATTCAGAAATTCTATATTTAACCAGTGTTCAAATTATTCCTTCATAGTTAAACTTGTGACTGTTGTGGATGTTATTCTGGTCCTCACAGCTGGCAAAAACCTTTATGGCAGACCACAGTGAACCGGTTTTTGGCTTCACTGTGGCGCTAAATAGGTAACCACAGTGACTGACTTAATTCATACTGGGTTGCTGAGGACAAAATAAGATGATATCTCAAATTTACTGTCTGATCTTTTTAGAAGAAAAAAAATAATGTGATATTATCGTGATTTATCATAATGTGGTTTCATCCTGGAGCACATGGTCTCCCTGGCTCTTTCTGTAGCCATTATACATCGAGCTTCCAGCTTCCCCCGCCCCTTAGTTGGATTCATTAGGGGAAAAAATGTGGCTCTGGATCACCGCTACAGATGATCAGTTACATGACTCCCCTAGATGCTAAGGATGGAGAAATGTGTTTTATCTGCTCCAGTAATAAACATACAAACTTTATAAGGATATCAGTATGCAAAAGTATAAAAATATTTTAACACGCCTGAGTCTTTTAAAGCTATTGACTCAATCCATGCACTATTGTATCCAAGCCTAAGCAGTAGCACCTGTAATGGGAACAACCACATTTCCTTGTTTACCTCTTCTTGATTTCATAGTAGTACCACATGCCTAGGTGACTTTAATCTTATATGATGTGTTTTTCCCTATTAAAACCCCAATGTCCATGGATGTATGGTTTTTTTTGGGGGGGGGGTTGAATAAGAACACTTTGAGGATCACTTCACAGTGAAGGCATTTCTAATTTATTTTATATTGGTTTAAACACACTCTTCTTAAAAGTATGAGTGCAGTGTTACATCAGACTAAAAACTACCGAAGTCGGGCATTCTTTGAAAAAATCTCGGCACTGTCACAAACTAAGCAATGAGATAGTGATAGATCACAAGCCGCCTTCCACATACCTTGATCTGTTGGTATAGGAAATAAGTACTGAGTAATGTAGAAGCTGGAAAGAGAGCTTGAAATGCAGTACACTATTTGAACCTGCTGTGGTTCACTTATTTCGGGACAAGGATCTACGCTTTAAAAATCCAGGAATTATGCATCTAAAATGTATATTGCCTACACTGATTTGTGCATCTAGTGTTTTTGAGATACAAAATGTGACAGCAGGTAGGTGCTGCATGTGTAAAACATCACCATTCTGATTTTCAAGGAGTGTTGCCATTCATGAATGCAAATGTTTGTTTGTGGAAATTACTGAGGTTTAGAAAGTGCAGTCTGAACAAATGTTATTTAACATTTTGTGAGAGAACTCTCTTGCAGATTATTATACCTTGAAAGAAAGGTCAGAAAAAAATCGAAAGTTCAAACATCAAGATCTGTGAAATCATCCAGCTGAGAAATTACATCATCTGATGAATGTGCTGTGAATACTAAACACTGGCATACTCCCAGAAACATGTTTCTAAACTCACACACACTCCAAAAACCTTTTCTCTCTAGTTCTATTTAGGTTAGCTAAGTCGCGCCCTAGAGTCGGACACTACTGGACTAAATGTCAAGGGGAACCTTTACCTTTTACTAAGTGGATTATAAACAGCTGATTACCACATATATATTACTCTTAAATCTAGGTTCCAGAGAGGATTGTTTGTTCAACTAATCCAAATACAATCAATCAAGTTCAATTACCTTTTCCATACAGAGCTAATAATATCTCTGAATAATAGCTTTTCTTGGATGCTTCATCCCAATAAAGGAACAAGTCATTGACTGATTCATGCTGAAAATTTTGGGGGGGAAATCGTGTTGCAGAACAAATTAATTTACTGCTGATTGCTTTTTGCTTTTCATGGCTTGTAGTTTGCCCTGTTCTCTTACACCTTCATTGCCTGCATTTAGCAATGTCCTTGGTGTATATTACAGAATGGCTCCCCCCCCCCCCCCAATTTTTGACTTATTCATACCAACTAACAACAGACATCAGTGGTTCTTAAAAGGTTGCTCTGGCCACTTTTCAGTAGGTACCTCGGAACTGGAGACATTACGTCTAAGAGCTGCCAAAAATAATAATAATCCCAACTATACTGGTAGTCTTCACTCCTGTTTTAATAAATAGAATGCTGTTATATGCCATTACATTGCTTCCAGTTTATGGTAACCATAGTTAAGCTTTTGAGATATGTGAGATGTTTGCCATTGCCATCCTGCCCGCCCCATTGAGTTATCTCAGCCAAGGAAGGATTCAAACCCAGGTTTCTTGACTCCTAGTCTGGCACTTTAAATCTACTAGAGCACGCTGGCTCTCGATGAATAGAAGTGTAACACAAAGATGACTGATACCATTTGAATCTCTGTGCCCCTGCCTCCAAGTCCAGTATTCATAGTAGCTCTTGAAAAGTATATGGAGACACGTAGTGTACTTGTACATATATAGTAATGGCAATTATTTATGGTACAGTATATTACAGCTGCTGGATAGCTCAGTGGTTTAGGTATCTGGCTGCAGAGCCAGAAGTTGGGAGTTCAATTCTCTGCAATACTAAGATTGTTATTATTATGCAGCAGTCTCATTTCCAGTACCATTGATAATGACAAAAATAATTAACATGTTGTGGACAGTGACTATTTAAAATTATTAGCTATGGATAATCAAAGTCATTCTTCCTCTGTTAAGGTGCTTCAAATTACAAAGCAAGAATAAGTATTGAAGTAAAAAAATGGGTTTCCAAAACAGGAAAGAATTTATTTATTTATTTATTTATTTATTTATTGGACTCATATACCACCCCATAGCGCTACAAGCACTCTCCGGGCGGTTTACAATTTTAATTATACAGGCTACACATTGCCCACCCCCAGCAAGCTGGGTACTCATTTTACCGACCTCGGAAGGATGGAAGGCTGAGTCAACCTTGAGCCAGCTACCTGGGATTTGAACCCCAGGTCGTGAGCACAGTTTTAGCTGCAGTTCTGTGTTTTAACCACTGCGCCACGAGGCTCTTTTTTTGAGGCCCTAAACTTCAGCTTGCTTAGACAATGTATAAATCTGACATTGGTTATTGACTATATAATTTCACACAATCTAGTGCAGTGCTTTTAAAGTACTTTTTTTTCAAATCTTCTGCTCTGGTATTAATATGAGCTGGGCTTTCCAAGACTGACTCTGCCTCTTCTCACTTGAACACAGAGTGAAATTGTTAATGATACGGTTGACCTTTTAGCATCTTTGGCAGTCTTCAACAGAGTAACAATAAAAAATATTGGAAAGACTGCTGACTGCAGTCGAATATATCTGGAAGGGGTCAGGTTGAGGACAGCTGCTTTGTGGCACAGGAACAGAAGTAATGAAAACTCAGCTTATATTGCACTGGGAAGAGAGTTATGAGATGATCTCTTCAAATACAAAATAGAATGGGTACTAGTCCTGCCTGCACCCAAAATCTCTTTTAAGTGTTTTCTAGATAGAACTCTTTTCTAGCCCACAATGAGAATTTGAACCCTTTTTGGAAAAAAGACCATGCCCTACCCCCTTATCCTGAAGACATCTGTGAGTCCCATTATAACGCAGCTGAGTGATACACCTGAAAGTATATTTTATCCCACCTTTCGCCTATGCTTATACTGCAATACTTTGCATTATCAGCATATTACTCATCTGGCAGTTTCTCGCTGCACATTGATCCTAATCTTCAAATATATTAGCAATATATATTTGGTAATATATTTATCCAGCTCTAGAGAAAACAAAATGCAAAATATTTACAGAGTAAATCTGTAGCTTTCTTATCCTGCTTAACCATATATCCAATGAGAGAGATACAGTGGGGACTTGACTTGAGAACTTAATCCGTATTGGTAGGCGGTTCTCAAGTCAAAAAGTTCTCAGGTCAAATCTGCATTTCCCATAGGAATGCATTGAAAACCATTTGATCCGTATCTGCTCTTTTCCGTCCATAGAAACTAATGGGAAGCTGCTATTCCGCCTTCGACCACTAGAGGGGGATATTTTGTTTCTTTTTTTCTTAGGTCAAGAAAGGTTCAGGGAAGGCAGGGAAAAGACAGTCCAGGCAGTACCAGGCAGTCTGAAGTCTGTCTCCCAATCCCCTCTCTAAACGCTGGGAGGAGTGAGGAAGCAGACAGGCACCCTTTTCACTGGCCAACAGTTAACTGAAAGTTCACATTTTGCCCTCTCCCTGCCTCCCACGTGTTTTTTTTTAGTTCTTAACTCAAATCTAAGTATGTAAGTCAAGTCAATATTTTCCTATGAGAGTGGTTCTTAAGTCAAAATGTTCTTAACTCAAGCCGTTCTTAAGTCAAGACCCCACTGTAACATGAAACATACAATAATGGTCAAGGAGCTTACCCAAAATGCCATCTGGGCAGCCTAAGGACATGAGTGTGAAATTATAGACGAAAATGCAGGCTTCACTGAGAGAAGTTTGCACTTTCAGAGTGCAAATTCAAAATTTAGTAAATATCTCTTGAAACTGGGAAGTTCTATGTATGTGACAATCTGACTTTCCAGTGAAAATGTGCCAGCTCTTTTAACAATTATTTGACTTTAACTAGTGGGTTTTTTATTTTTATTTATTTATTTATTATTGGATTTTTATCCCGCCCTTCTAGACAGAAGTCTACTCAGGGCGGCTCACAATATATTGTGCAAGTTAAAAACAATAATTAAAATCTACAATAATACTATAGTCAAGATGGGAATAAACAGCAAAACCAAGAAAAGTAAAAGTCAAGTATTGGCAGGAGGGAAGGCTTGCCTAAAAAGCCAAGTTTTTAATTGGCTCTTGAAAACACTAGTGTATCTTCCTGTTGGTAAAAGTTTTGCCTGTAAAATCCTGCTTAGTGTACCATTTAAAGGCATAAGAGGGTGAGACCAGCTACTACATCAGTAGTAGTAGTAGTCTACATCAAGACTTTCTGCAGTCGCTCTCCTTAAAGACATGCTTCTCCTGACTTCAAGAAATGTTTCTGCAGCAGTTCACAAGGGGGCAATATTAAGCAAATGTCATGCAACAGGCATTAAAGCTTGTAGGTTTGAGCAGAAGACTGCAGCCTTATATGCCATACATTTAGGACTGGAGGAAAGCTCTGCTGGATTACATGAAAAGCCTCTCTGAACCCGTATTCGATTCTGTTCCCATAGTGGCCATCCAACTCCCTTAGAAGTCTGCAAGCAAGAAACGGGAGACAACAACATCCACGTCCTCTTCTTCCTGGGTGCTGAGCTGTTTGAGTTAATGGGGCAGAACCACACCCCAGGATCGGGTTCCCCCAGGCAACCCACTCCCACTTGTTTCACCAGAGGCAGAGTACTCTCTTCCTGCTGCTTAACTTCCAGCCCTCCTTTTCTGTGTAGGTGGAAAAAAGGAAAATGGGTGAGGGGTGAGAAGATGAATCCGAGTGAACAACTTTCCAATTTTGAAACTGGATAAAAGGGAAGCAGCAGCAGGTGAACACCTTTCAAACTTGGGGGGGGGGGAGAGAATTATTTTTCATCTTCAGTGGGTTGTGGAAAGAATGAACAGGGTAGGACAAGGAAGCATCTGCCTGCCTTAGTATCTATGCCACGTCCCTGTGCATGTGTATGTTTAACTGGCTCTGCCCACCATTGGCTTTTGTACCTTCTCCCAACACTAATTGCAGACTATTGAGAAGCAGGCAACATGTGGCATTAGCGCTGGAATGCAACCATCATGACTAGTGGTCATGGACAAGTGGCGCAAACATCTCCATTTCTGTAGGTATATGTTGTGTGCCGTGCAAGCTGAACTGATTTATAGCAACCCTGATACAGTAGGATTTTCAAGGAAGGTGAAGTATTCAAGGAGTGGTTTCACCAGTTCCACTCCGCCAATGAGTTTCCACGGCTGAGCAAGGGAATCAAACCCAGGTTTCCCGAGTCTTAGTCCATTTCTCTATCCACTGTACCACACACTTACTTGACATTTATCATTCTCAGTGAATTCTACATAGCTAAATTCTGGTTAGACAGCACTCCAAAATTCCCGAGAACTACCAACTTTTCGAGAGACTCCAATCCTTCTATTTTGTGTACAGTACTTACTGATTTTGCTTTCAAATGTCTTTTTAATAATGTAAGCTGCCTTTGGTCCTTTTTAAGGAGAAAGGCAGGGTAAAAATATTTTTAAATGAATACTAATTTACGGTACTAATTATGTAATGTCACTATTGCCCATTGAGGGCACATATTATATTTTGCTTTTAGGCCTTTAAATGAGAGACTTAAGAGGTTCCCGTTTATTCTCTCCTCCCCCCCTTTTCTGAAACACAAGCTGGCTTCGCGCCAGGGGAGGTGATCCGGGAAAGCCCCCCCCCCCAAAGATGACACTAGCTTAGAGCAGTTTGTCCGGTTTGCACAGACTAAGCACGGCTGCCTCTCGGGGATGTTACGGCCAAATCTGAATTGAGATTAGACCAGTACTGGGTTCGAGTTCTCTGGCAAGGATCACAGGCTAAGACACAAGACAGCTGAACAAGCCAATTTTATTAAAGTACAAAAGTTCAGCTGGGCCAAACTATAGCTGAGATTATTTCTTCTTTCCCTTCAGGGAGCGCAGACCGACGGTGCACTGCCCAAGGGCTTGCCACCCTTGTCCCGGTTCCCTCCTCTCCGCCTGGTAAGGGAAGGGGCCCAAGCCACATCCCGGGGCGGGGAGACAGGCCGGCCCCTAAGCTGAGGCTGCTGCCGCCTCCTCTCCCGCCATGCAGACAGCCCTAGAGAGAGGCAGGCGCCAGGTCCAGGAGGAACCCAAAGGAGGCCCACAGGCGCCTTTCAGATTTAGTTCCACTCCTGTGGCCTCTGGCCTTCCGAGCCAGTCCCAATGAACTCAGCATTGGGTACTACGCTGAATACACGCCGATTTTTTCTCCTCAGAATAATGCGCGTTTCCATTTGTCATACTGAATGTCTGCGCGTAAACTGTGCGTAAACGGCACAGTTGAGTGCTGTACATTCTCCTGCCGTTTCTCCGTGCAAATTTCCGGAAAACCTATACGCTAATTAACAACCGCGGAAGCCCTGCACTTCTATTTTCAGTCCAGCTGCTTTTCAAGTTGAAGAGATTAAAGCCTCGCTTCCCGGCCCTCCGCCCCAAACCGGCCTTTTGACCTCCCGCCTCCTCTCTAAGCTTCCCGTTTCCTTCTCCTGACGTCACATTTGGCGCGAAAAATTGCCCGGGAAGACGCGGAAAGGGGGCGGGGGCACCTGCCGTCGGAGGGTCCTGATTGGTCCGCGCAGCCACGCGGGAGCTCTAGTGGCGCGAATCTTTTGTCCTTGTCCGGACCGGAGCGGCGGCGGAGAAAAAAAGGAAAAGACTCCCAATGGATCTTGCCACGGCGGCGGCGGCGGAGGGCGGCTTGGCTGCGCCCAATGCGCTCAAGCACATCCGCGATGAGGTGGCCGAGAAGTGCCAGAAGCTCTTCCAGGACTTTCTCGAAGAGTGAGTGGCCGCCGCGCGATAAGAGGACGCGTTGCGTTGTCTCCCTTGGCGCCCTTGTCTGACCAGGCTGAAATAACTTTAATCCGAAATACTTTCGCCTGTTCGTAAGCTCCGTTTAACTTAGCGGGACACGGTTCTGAGTGTATGGGGTAGGGCAGCCTTGGGAAGTCTCGACCCTGCAACCAACTCCGGTAGCAATAACCCTACTACTAGTGGGACCTCGTCTTCCTGCTAAACCCAAAGCCACTCGTTGCAGAACGACAATGTCCCTGCAGTAAATCCCACTGGTGGGATTGGCATAGGGGTTTTTTTGTATATGAGAGTGTTTTTGGCGGGGAGGTGGAGTGCTATGCTTTTATTGCTCTGGGTCTAGTTGCTAACCTCCAGCAGAGTAGACCTTATTGAATCAGTGTCATTTGCGTGTGTGTCGATTTACCATTCAGCATTCCATTCAGTGGGGCTCTCTTACTGGGGACTGGAATTGGATTTAGGCCATGTCTCTCAAACGTTACAGGTTTGGGCCCAGACACTTGTGGTAGTCCAACGATGAGTTAATTTCGTTCCTCCTTTAAACAGATAGGCACTTAATGCTGGGTGTGTGCTGTTATTGGATCTTGATCCCTTTTCTGGAGTTATGGTAATCAGCAATGGTATTTTTCTGTACTCTGATGTTTGTGGGGGGTGGGATCGGATTTGTTATTAATAGTATATGTCACTCAGTAAAGAAACTTCGGTGGCTTACAGTAAAAGCTTAAAAACAATAAATAGGAAAGAACCATGTAAACTAAACTGTTCTGGCCAGAATCTTGTTATTACTGTACACTGGTTCATGCAACTTTACATCATGCAAGTACTTTGGACTATTTAATTCACTGTCTTTTGCATGATTGGTTACATCAGATACTGTATATCTGATGACTGATTGTGCATCAGATGCTGAACCGGTTTCTGCATATTTTTGCACAGTTCAGCATTATGTCTGCACATACTGTATTTCAGTAGGATTCTGGCTGGGAAACTAGTCTAGGGTAACATTAAAAAACTTAACAGCAGTATCAAAGAAAACAGTACAAGGTATTTTCTGTCTCCTGGAGGTTTGCTGTTTTGATATTGTAAACTTATTTTTGGCAAGGTGTGTTCTGACTTGTTTATTTCAACCCAAGTCCTTTATTGCAACTGAAAGTTTTTGAGGTTTAATTCTGAGCAAGCATGCGTAAGTACTAGGCTGTACAGTTGCTATTCTGTGCACATACATTAAAGAGTAAAATCCTAGTGTACTTGCTGAAATGTCCAGGATGATTATAGAACTGAATTGTATCAATAGAAACTAATAATTGCACCAAAAAGAGGTTCTGAGTCTACTTGTGGGGAGCTGACTTCATTAGGTGCTTTCTGTTATGTCTGCAACATATACAAAAGGGTTAAACTGTCTGTCTTTCATTGTCAGATCAGTTAGAGGCATGCAGAATGACTTCTCTACTGTAGCTCCATAGATGTTGGGTGCTCCCAGATGTCTTCAAGGCTGTATCAGTGATGCGTTTATCATGACAGTCCTTTAATTCTTTGCAATCTTACTGCATACTATAATGTTGCCAGAATTAAAGTGGGACAAGGGAGAGGAAAAATAAAAACAAAAACACTGTGGTACTTTAAAAATGAACAGATCCATTGCATTGTGACACTTTGGGACTCTAAATCCAATTCTTCAGACCCAGAAGTGCAAATTTATTGCCTCTGTATTTATAAATATCCTCTTGACCATGTGAGGGTGCAAATAACAGACAAAGTAAGTATGGGTCATGGTGGGTGGCTTTCAGAGATACGATAGTGCTGATAAGTCCCTTGTGCCACTGTACCTTGGTATCCAGAAAGTATACTTGTGCGGATTGCTCCAGGCTTATGTTGATGGAAGTACAGTATAAAAGTGATTGAAGGGCTGGTGGAATTTCTCCAGTGATTCTTTGCCATGAATCTGGGTGATGAAGCTATTGCCGATGAATTTCAAATAGAGGAGAGGTCTCTGGGTATAAAAGCTGAGGGGGGGCATTGTCCCAGGTCATCCGTGAACGTATTTGCATTCTGTGGAGCCATACCTGCGCCACTCAACTAAAGTTGTATGCTATCTTATATATACACAAACTCTTCCCTAAAATACTGTACTGATATTTTTAGATTCCAGAGCAGTGATGGAGAAGTTAAATACTTACGTGATGCAGAGGAGCTGATCCGTCCAGAGAGGAACACATTGATTGTAAGCTTTGAGGATCTGGAACAGTTTAATCAACAACTTGGTACTACAATCCAGGAAGAGTTTTATAGGTACGAATATTCTTTTTATTTAAAAAAATTATTTTCAATAACGGTAATGGTTGCGGTGTGGGTACAAGGGCATAAGGAGGGAATGGATAGGGGTGAGATAAGGATAAAATTCCAGAGAGTGAAAGAATATTCTTACATCCACTTTCTTAGATTTGTTAAAAGAGTAAATAAATAAACCATCTAACAATTAAATAAATAAACACATAAATAAACCATCTAATGATTTTTCCAGACTGTCTATCTTTACAGCTCTCTCCATTCCTTTGGACCTTCTTATACTTCTTTTATCTATACTTTCTAGTCCATATTTCAGATCCAATTATAAAATTGTCCCCATTTTTAAATTCCTTTTTGTGATGCTCTTCCATTTAGTGTTTCAGTCAGTACATCCATCTCCGCCGCTTCCATTACCTTTTCGATCAGTTCCCCCAGAGACGGTACCTCCTCTTTCTTCCAATATTTTCCACATCGTATCCTTGCTACCATAGTTACATGTATTATCAAACATCACTTTATCTACAATTTCAGTCATAACATTTAGAAAGAACAATTCTGATTCAAATGGTATCACATAAGATACATTTTTGTAACATTTCATGTATTGATCTCCAGTAACTTTTTGCTTCCCTACATGTCCACCATATATGATAAAAAGTACCCTCCTGCATTTCACATTTCCAGTGTTTGCTGGAGATATTGTTACGCATTTTAGACAATTTCGTTGGAGTCATATGTCATATAGAACATCTTTTATATCTTTTCTGTAGCGTTTACTGATTTTGTAAGTTTAATATTATTCTGCCAAATTTGTGCCCAGTATTCTAAATCAATATTATGACCAACATAGGTGCAAATATTCTAAGGGTTGTTCAGAGATTATTGATTGTTGTGTTACAACTAGGATTAATTATCCTGAGCTTTATTAGAAATATTTTTGGCAGTACTGAGGAATTTGTAAAGGTCTGATTAAGTAAACGAATTTGCAAGTGAATAAGCAGTACTGTAACTTCACCTGTCACATGGCTGGGAATATAGGCCATATTCTCCCCAGTGGCTGTTTTTCAAATAGCCTAGTGGGACTGGCATAAAAGTCAGAATTGGGCACTTCCTGCAAGCAATGGCAATAAATAAAGAAGTATGGAATGTTCTGAGAGGTGGTATTTCTGTGCCAGCTTTGAGTAATGGTTGCGATTACACTCCTTTAGTATTCAGATAAATGCAGAGTTAGTGGTAAAAGTTTTATTCAAGCTTATTACATAATATGATAATTTTTTTATTTTTCTGAAAGTTTAGTCTCAAACCTCTGTACAGAGAAAAAGATTTATAAAGCTGTTTTGAGGGGAAAGCCAAATAGATTTACCAGATAGATTGGCAGCACTAAAATGATCTCTTATATAAAATATTATCTTGTATTTTAGAGTCTACCCTTTCCTGTGTCGAGCTGTGAAAACCTTTGCCAGAGACCATGGAAATGTTCCTCCAAACAAGGACTTCTATGTTGCTTTCCATGACTTGGCTACGAGACACAAGTAAGAGTGTTTAACATCGAGCTCCACCAAATTAAGTTGGGAGTGTAAAGACATAACCATACCGTTTAGCAAGAAAACACCTATCTGTTCCTCAGGGTACTTTGTTCACAGTTCAAAGGAATTTGTTTGGCACACTGGAACCTGATAATAGGCTGCCAGTACAGTGGTGCCCTGCTTAGCGATTGCCTCGTTTAACTATGTATTCGCTTAGCGATGAGGTTTCTGGAGCGATTTTGCACTCCATTTAATGATCCCTATGGGGAAAATTCGCATAGCGATGTTCGGGACATTGCCTAGCTTAGCGATGACAGTTTTAGGTCCCCTGTTTCGCTTAGTGATGTTCAGTTTTCGCTATTTTTAAAGTGTCTTAAAAGGTTCAAAAACGATTTTAAATGCTTAGAATCGTTAGTGCACCTTCTAAAACGTGTGCAAACTTAATTTGGCTTTGTTCTGACTCTTCGTTAATTTTTGGTGAATTTTTTGTCCCCCATTGAAATGCATTGAACCCGATTTTGACAGCTGTCAAAATCGGGTTCAATGCATTTCAATGGGGGAAAAATTCACCAAAAATTAGCGAAGAGTCAGAACAAAGCCAAATTAAGTTTGTACACGTTTTAGAAGGTGCACTAACAATTCCAAGCATTTAAAACCGTTTTTGAACCTTTTAAGACACACTTAAAATTGCAAAAACGGACATCGCAAAGCCATTGAAATGCATTGAATAGGCTTCAATGCATTCCAATGGGGGATACATTGTTTCGCTTAGCGATGTTTCCTATGGGGATTTTCGCTTAAGGACGGCAATCCATTCCCATTGAAACGGATTAACCGTTTTTCAATACATCTCTATGGGAAAACATTTTTCGCTTAGCGATGTTTTCCCATAGCGATATTTTTTTTGGAACCAATTAACATCATTAAGCGAGGCACCACTGTATATGGATTTTAACCTTCCTCCCCCCCAGTACTATCTATGCTTTTTTGCATCCTATTCTAAAGCAGGAGTGAGAATCATGCAGCCGGGAAGGGGGGTGACCCTTAGAACCCACCACCATCAAAATCCCCTTTCTTACAATAAATGGGAGCATCAGACCTCCAGGGGCCATTATGGTCTTCTAACCAAGGCATGCCTGCATCTCTTTTTTGCAATCCACTTTAGCAAAGTTGAAGTGTTTATTTTAAAACTAGTTTCATGTGAGGGATTGTTGTAGTCCTAGAAAGTTTGGGAAGATTAGGGAGATGGGTCCCAGACCCTCTGAAGGAGTGCATTCCTGTTGCAAATAGTTAAACGAGAGGTGCAGAAAAATCCTGTGTGAATAAGGGATTAAGCTGGGAGATTAGTCTTTTTTTTAACTTTCTGACATAAGTGGGAATAGTTATTTTAATTGTTTAATTGATTTAAAAATATGGTTCCAAAACTTGACTCCTGTGCTGAGTTAATTCTTGAGAACTTGGTGGCCTCTTCTATATGTCATATTGCTATTTCCATAAAATATATTTATAAAATTTCAGCATGCTAACTTATGGGCAACATAACTGAAAGTCAGCAACCCAAATTGCTTAGAAGTTCACATCATGGAAATTAATGTCTAAAGGCTTCATGATACAGTCTGCTTAGATGTCACAGACATCAGTACATCTGAATGCCTTGATTTGCACTTAAATATTGTGAGTGCAGAAATTGCTTTCTAGTTCTTAGCTACAGAACAGCCTGTACTTGCTAGTCCTTGCTTTCCATAGTCAACAATAGGCCATAATGGCCCATTTAATCACCATCTGGTCTGCTTAGATTACAGTGTAAAACTGAAGGGCTTTTTAGCTGACTTTAACTGTTCTTTAAACAGAATTCGAGAAATGACATCAGCTCGGATTGGATCGCTTATCCGTATTAGTGGGCAAGTGGTCCGCACCCATCCTGTTCACCCAGAGCTTGTAAGTGGAACCTTCCTCTGTCTGGATTGCCAAACCGTGATAAAAGATGTGGAGCAGCAGTTCAAGTACACACAGCCCAACATCTGCAGAAACCCAGTCTGTGCCAATAGGAAACGATTCCTTTTAGACACCAACAAGTCCCGATTTGTTGACTTTCAAAAGGTAATTCAGCAATTGTTATTTAAAACATTGTATTGGTTTTCCTGGCTGTGAAACTAGTGTTCTATTATGGTTGTTGTGGTTGTTGTTGTTGTTGTTTTTCCAGTGTGGGCTGGTTTAGATGAATCACAGTTTGGCACTAAATGAACAGGATGTCCGTGAAGATTCTCAGTCGTACAGGTGTGGTTAGCGGGAAGTTGAGTCATGGCAACTGGACTTCTTGTTAGGTTGAAACATTTCGCTACTCATCCAAGCAGAGACTGAAGAAGCTGCTTGGATGAGTAGTAAAATGTTCCAATCTAACAAGAAAGAAGTCCAGTTGCCATGACTCATCTTCCCGATAAATGAACAGGACTTTGAGAAAGTGTCTTCTCCCTTTCCTTCCTTGTTTCTGGCAAATCACTAGTTATTTTGCTATAAGTTGACATACCGTGATTTGTACTTGTCATACAAACCAAGATTTTACTTCAGAATCAAAGTATGGTTTTCAAGCCTGGATTGCAGAGCAAACTCATTCTGATTAAGGAAGAATGGGAATCCACTTTGCACTGGAGAATATTCTGAGAAACATGTTTCTAGAGGTTTGACAGTGACAGCACAACTGGCTAGAGTGTCAGTGTAGGGTTGGAGAGAACGATCCTGGATAATTTTTGACCACTCACTAACCTAAGCAACTTATTGTTGGAATAAATATACACAAGAGAGATGTTTGAGCTTCTTGGGATTACTAGATGTAGTCAATCAGTTAAAGTAGCTCTGTGTCTCTATCATTGCAAAGATTCCTTACTGTAGTGCAAAATACAGACATTTCATCATTTTTTCTGAGAGCATGTATAAAACCATGCAAATTGAGAATCACAGTTTGGAGAGGTTATTTTGTTCGTATTGCAAGCCTGAGATTCTGAGAACTCTATGGTGAAGTCGCGTTTCTTTGTTATGCATCTGGAAGGTGAACAGAATAACTTTTGGTTGCTTCTGACTGGCAATTAATAAAGATATCTTGAAAGATACTTGCCAGACTTCTATGCACTAACTGCCTCTTATGAAATTGATTCCCCTTAGTGAAAGCTTATGTTAAAACTTTTTTTAAAAAAGATGCTGCAAGACTTTGTATTGATTTTTATTGAGGTAGCTTTAAGAGTGACCCCTTGAAAGAAAGCATTTTGGCAGCCATTGCAGAATTCTGTCATTCATACCAGCATGTTGTATTGAGGCTTGAAGTTCTTTTGTTCTTGTAAGTGAAAGCCAAAAAGAGCTTTCAGTCACAAAAAAAAATCGCAAAAAAACCCACAAAAAACCACAGTCAGCCCCATCGCAATGCAAGGGGCTGAAGAACAAAGCCCCCATCGCAATGCAAGGGGCTGAAGAACATAGCAAAACACACACACACACCACAGTCCACACCACAGTCAGCCCCATCCGAAAACACCCCACAAACACAGCACAAAACATAACCCCCCCAACCCAAACCCATGCTGCAAAACAAAGTAAATATACACCCCAACCCAAACCCATGCTGCAAAACAAAATAAATATACAGTACTTACGAGCAGAAAGCAGCACCAGGCAGTCCCAAGCCTCCTCCGACACACACTCTTAACAGTTGGGGTGAAAGAGCTACAAAGACGTTCTTCCCCAACCAACGGTTAGCCCTCTAATTTGAATTCCCCGCCTTTTTTTTTCTGCCTCTTTTGATTGCAATTGGAAGCTCCGGACGCAAGTCGAAGCAAAATTTTGCGGCCGGAGCTGATCGCAACTCGAGATGGTCGTATGTCGGGACGGTTGTAATTCGAGGCATTACTGTATTGTGTTTTTTCTCCCCATTCTACAAGTCTTTGTGCTCAAAGTTTAAAAGCCTTCGTGAATACATTTAAACATTCTGTTCTTTCTGTCTCTCCAGGTTCGTATTCAAGAAACACAGGCTGAACTGCCCAGAGGGAGCATTCCTCGCAGCGTTGAGGTGGTCTTGCGTGCTGAAGCCGTAGAATCGGCTCAAGCCGGTGACAAATGTGACTTCACAGGGACCCTCATTGTTGTGCCTGATGTGGCTCAGCTGTCCACTCCAGGTTTGTTGATCATAGGTAGAGCACTGTGATGCTAGAGACAAAACATAAAGTCTGCAGAACCACTGGAACTCCACTACTGTAAAATGCAGTATCACATCAAAGTCTCTTTGTCTATGGGGTAGAAAGATCTCAGTATATCACAGAGAAGGCTGAGCTAGAACAGTTCTCTCTGTGATGGTAGTTTCTCCAGTGCAGCCAGCCTAAACATTAAAGCACATTATTCCCAACTGTGTTTTGAAGTGGCACATTCGTAAGAGAGGTCCTACTGTTTCAGATGTGTACAAGTGGAATTAGCAGGACACTCACTGAATAGGACTTGGATTTCTGGGTCTTATACTCATAGGTCTTTGGGGTTTTGCAGGTGTACGTGCAGAAACTGGCTCCCGTGTGACTGGGAAAGAAGGTTATGAAACTGAAGGTATCAGAGGTCTTCGGGCACTTGGAGTCAGAGAGTTATCCTATAAACTGGTCTTCTTGGCATGTTATGTTGAACCAACAAACCCAAGGGTAAGGCATAGTAACAAAACTTGGTTTTACATTCTTTTTGGAAGCTACCAGTGAGTTTTAGTTATCCCCTGACCTTCCATACTCAGTTTTTGGAAGCTACCAGTGAGTTTTAGTTATACCCACACCTTCCATAATGAATTCTGAAGCTCATGTGTATAATTTTCTGGGCAGAATCCTACTGTGGATTTACAGTGGCATAAGTGTGTGTGAATTATAGTGGTGATGAAGAGTTGCCCCTTCCATTGTAAGTTGTGCAATGCAAGCAGCAATCCATTAATCTGGAACAATTCCCTGCAGTTGTTCCTCTGCCCCTTCGAAGTCCAGCTTGTACTTCTGGGAGTTCTCGGTCCACATACTGCTGAAGCCTACCTTGTAGGATTTTGAGCATAACCTTGCTAGCGTGGGATATGAGTGCAATTGTACGGTAGTTGGAGCATTCTTTGGCACTGACCTTCTTGGGGATTGGGATGTAGACTGATCTTTTCCAGCCCTCTGGCCACTGCTGAGTTTTCCAAACTTGCTGGCATATTGAATGTAGCACCTTAACAGCATCATCTTTTAAGATTTTAAATAATTCAACTGGAATGTCATCACCCCCACTGGCCTTGTTGTTAGCCAGGCTTTCTAAGGCCCACTTGACTTCACTTTCCAGGATGTCTGGATCAAGGTCAGCAACCACACTATCTGGGTTGTCCAGGACATCCAGATCTTTCTGGTATAATTTCTGTGTGTATTCTTGCCACCTCTTCTTGATGTCTTCTGCTTCTGTTAGGTTCCTACCATCTTTGTCCTTTATCATGTCCATCTTTGCACAAAATGTTCCTTTAACATCTCCAATTTTCTTGAACAGATCTCTGGTGTTTCCCTTTGTATTATTTTCCTCTATACTGTATCCAGGACATCCAGATCTTTCTGGTATAATTTCTGTGTGTATTCTTGCCACCTCTTCTTGATGTCTTCTGCTTCTGTTAGGTTCCTACCATCTTTGTCCTTTATCATGTCCATCTTTGCACAAAATGTTCCTTTAACATCTCCAATTTTCTTGAACAGATCTCTGGTGTTTCCCTTTGTATTATTTTCCTCTATACTGTAGCCCTGTTCATTTAAGAAGACCCTCTTGTCTCTCCTTGCTATTCTTTGGAAGTCTGTATTCAATTTTCTGTAACTTTCCCTATCTCCCTTGCATTTTGTTTCACTTCTCTGCTATTTCTAAGGCCTCGTTGGACAGCCACTTTGCTTTCTTGCATTTCCTTTTCTTTGGGATGGTTTTCGTTGCTGCCTCCTGGACAATGTTACGAGCCTCCATCCATAGTTCTTCAGGCACTCTGTCCACCAAATCTAGTTCCTTAAATCTGTTTTTCACTTCCATTGTGTATTCATAAGGGATTTGGTTTAGATTATACCTGACTAGCCCAGTGGTTTTTCTTACTCTCTTCAGTTTAAGCTTGAATTTTGCTATGAGAAGCTGGTGATCAGAGCCCCAGTCAGCTCCAGGTCTTGTTTTTGCTGACTATATAGAGCTTCTCCATCTTTGGTTGCAGAGAATATAATCAATCTGATTTCGGTACTGCCCATCTGGTGATTTCCATGTGTAGAGTCGCCTCTTGTGTTGTTGGAAAAGAGTGTTTGTGATGACCAGCTTGTTCTCTTGACAAA